TGAGCTCTGTAATGTTTTGAACAATCAATAAAAAAAATGGAAGGAAAAAAAAAGAATTATTTAAGGCTTACAAAAATCACCTTAACATTAAAATATAACTCATGGGATTTTTTTTCTCTCTTTCCAGGTGGATCTGGAGCCTGAGGGGAAAGTATTTGTGGTAATAACCCTCACAGGAAGTTTCACTGAAGGTAAGAATACGTTTTGGGTGGTTTCTGGTATCTGTGTAATTTTAGTTCATACTGAGCAGGAATTTTTATCATGGAAATTATTAAAGGGACATTTTATAAAATATACTTTAAGAAACATCAGCATCTTAAGTTGGGCTACTGGACTTTGTTGTCCAACACTCTGTTGGTTTGGATTTCTGGATTAAGGTATTTGCTAAATATGGCAATCTTGTGTTTTGTTCACTAAGTTTATGTTTTTATTCCTCATCATCTTAGCTGAGTATTGTTTTACTGCCTCTTTTGATTTATGCCTATTCAAATCTAATTTGAATTTTTGGCTTTGTGTCAACCTTTTAGTTTGTCTGTGAATGTGTATGAAAGAAATGTAAACATGTTCTTATTAGTGCATTATAGGTACACATAATAGTAGGTCCATTTCGACATAATCATACATGTATGGAATATAATTTTCTCCATTTCATTCTCCAATGCTTCTTTTTTTCTCCCTCCCCTTCTCTCTCTCCCTGTTCTCCTTCCTCTACTCTACTGGTCTTACTTCTTTTTATTATTATTATTTTTTAAAATTGGTGACTTATAGATATACATAAAAACGGAACTCACTGAGCTATGTTGGCATATGTACGTAGCATAATCTGGTCAATTTCATACCAAAGTTCCTCACTTTCTCTTTCCCTCCTCCTTCCCCAGAACACTTCCTCTTCTTCACATCTCCCCTCTATTTCACAAGATCTCTCCCCACCTTCCCCCCCTTACTTTGCATCTGCTTCATGTGAGACAAAACAATCCAATCCTTGATTTGTTTAGTCTGGTTTATTTTACTTAATATTATGTTCTCCAGTTTCATCCCTTTACCAGCAGATGCCATAATTTTGTTCTTCTTTATGGCTAAGTAAAACTCCATTGTGTATATACCATGTTTTCTTTATCCATTCTTCTGTTGACAGGCACCTGGGCTGATTCTTCAATTTGACTTTTGTGAATTGAGCTGTTATAAATATTGATGTACCTGTATCACTATAGTATACTGATTTTAGTTATTTTGGATAAATACCAAACACTGGAATAGCTGGGTCATATAGTAGTTCTATTCCTAGCCTTCTGGACAATCTTCATACTATTTTTCAAAGTGGTTTCAAAGTGGTTGTACTTATTTGTACTCATACCAACAATATATGAATGTACTTTTTCCTTATATCCTTACCAGCATTTATTATATTTGCATTCTTGATGATTGCCATTCTAACTGAGAGAAATGAAATATCAATGTAGATTTGATTTGCATTTCCCTGATTGCTAGGAATGTTGAACTTTTTTGTATATATTGGTTGGCCATTTGCATTTCTTCTTTTGAAAAATGTATATTTAGTTATTTTGCCTATTTATTGATATTTTTGTGTGTGTGTGTGTGTGTGTGTGTGTGTGTGTGTGTGTGTGTGTGTGTGGTGTGTTTGGCATTAAAGTTTTTGAGTTCTTTTTATATTCTGGATATTAATCCCCCATCAGTTTTGTAGCTGGAAAGATTTTCTCCCATACTGTGGGCTCTTTCTTCATGTTCTTAATTATTTCCATTGCTGTGTGGGAGCTTTTAATTTAATACTGTTCCACTTATCGATTCTTGGTTTTATTTCTTGGGCTTTAGGGGTCTAGTTAAGGAAGTCAGTGCGTAAGTCAGGAGTGTGGATCCTGTTTTTGTGAGAGATATATATATATATATATCTCTCACAAAAACAGGATTATATATATAAAATCTTCATGTATTGATTTTTATATTGCTGAGGATCGAACCCAGTGCCTCACACACGCAAGGCAAGCGCTCTTCCGCTTAGCTATAACCCCAGCCCCTTGCTCCTGTTTTCTTCTAGCAGTTGCCAAATTTCTGGTCTAATTCCTAGATTTTTGATCCACTTTGATTTGACTTTTGTGCAGAATGAAAGATAGGGATCCAGTTTCATGGTTCTGCTTATGGACATCCAGTTTTCCAAGCACCATTGTTAAAAATCTCCAATATGTATTTTTGGCATCTTTGTTGAGTATCAGTTAACAGTAACTATTTGAGTTGTCTCTGTTCTTTTATTCTATTCCGTTGGCCTTCTTGTCTGTTTTGATGACAATACCATGCTGATATTGTTACTACAGCTCTGCAGTATAATTTGAGATCAGGTTTTGTGATGCCTCCAATGTTGCTCTTCTCACTCAGCATATAATCTTATTTTATTCTTATCCTCTAAGTAATTCCATACCTCATTCCCTGCTGCTAAATGTTACTTCCCTTTCTCACCACTAAAAGCAGTTTTTTAAATTGAGATAAATTTTTCTGTCATGAAATGAAAAATCAGAAGCGAATAATTTGAATTTTGACAAATGCTCACAACTGGGTACCAGCTCCTCAATTCAAGATACAGAATGTTTCTGTTACTAAGAGTTCCCTATACCCTTTATCAGTCACTCTTGCTGCCCAAAGCAATAAGTGTAATTCTTTCTTTTCTTTTTTCTTTTTTTCTTGATACTGGGAATTGAACCCAGAGGTTCTGAGCTACATCCCTATTCCTTTTTATTTTGAGACAGGGTCTCCCTAAGCAGGTGAGTGCTGCCGCACCTGGAAAGTATGCTTTCTTGTACCACAAATTAATTTTACCTATTCTAGAAGTTCATACAAATGAAATTATAACACATGCTCCATTTTATGTCTGGTTTCTTTCACTCATCATCATTTCTTTGTGATTCATTCATATCATTGTGCATATCAATATTTTTTAAAAATTCTATAAAATTTTATTTTATAAATTAGCATCCATTTATTTTCTTTCTCCTCTTGAAAAACTTTTGGGATTTACCTTTTTGTTGTCTGTGATGAATTATGCTTCTGTATATACATTATATACATTGTATGTGTACATTTTTGTAAACATACACTTTCATTTCTCTAGGGTACATAACTAGGAATGAGATTGCTAGGTATTAGAGCAGGTATATATTGAAATTTATATAGAACTCACAAATGGATTTTGGAAGTAATTGTATGATTATACTCTTGGTAGCATTGTGTGAGAGTTCTAAGTGCTCCATATCCTCTCCAAAACTTGATGTGATCATTCTTTTTAGTTTTAGACATTCTAGTATGCATAAAATGGTGTTTTGGGTTTTAATTTGCATTTCATTTGCAAATTATAGTGGACACTTTCTCATGTGCTTTTTGGTCATTTGTATATTTTTATAAGTGCTAATTCTTTTGTTGTACTTTTTAAAAGTTGAATTTGTCATTTTATTATTGATTTGTGGGGTTCTTTAAGTGTTCTGGATATGAGTCTTTTGTGTGAAACCTGTCTGAGTATGTGGCTTGCTTTTTAATTTTCTTAATGGTGTGTTTGAGGAGAAGTTTTAAATTTTCATGAATTTCCATGAAGTTCAATTTAATCTCTTCTTTCATCATTTGTATATTTTGAGTCCTCTCTATGAAGTATATCATAGGGTTACAGAGATATTCACCTTATAGGTTTTTTTTAGCTTTTATCTTTTGTCTGTATGTTCCTGAAATTAATATTTTTGTGTGATCTAACAGAGGATTTGAAATTTTTTTCGATAAGCTAATCCAGTTGTTGTAGCATCATTTGTTGAAAAGTCTTTTTTTTTTTTTCTCATGCAATAACCTTGGAACCCTTGTTGAAAATCAACTAAACACATATATGTGTCTACTTCTGGGTTATCTGTATGGGTATATTGATTTATTTGTCCATCCTTATGCCAATACCACATTCTACCTTACTATTGCTTTGCAATAGTAAATAGTATGAGTCCTCCGACTTTGCTCTAATTTTTTTTTATTATTTTAGCTATACTCACTATTTTAAGTTTTGATGGCAGTTTTAGAGTCAGCTTGTATGTTCTCACACAAAATTGAAATTTTATTGAAAACTATAGATCAGTTTTGAGAAGAATTGTTATCTTAATAAGTATAAGCTTCTTCATATCCATAAACATGGTATATCCTTTTGTTTACTAGTGGTCTTTAATGTCACTCAACAATTCCATCAGTATTACCAATATTATATAATTTTCAGTAGAGTTCTTGCATATATTTTAAAAATTTATTCCTAACTATTGTAAGCTTTTTGATGCTAGTATGAATGGTATTTAACAATTTTATTTTCAAGTTGTTTGTTTCTAGCATATAAAAATTGCATTTTATATATTGGTTTTGTACCTTATTAAATTAATTTACTAATTCTAGTAGGATTTTTTTGTAGATACCTTATGATTTTATATATAAACAGTCATGTTGTCTATGAATAAAGATAATTATCGTTTTCATTCCTAATATTTATTTCATTCCTAATATTTGTTTGTTTTTCATGCCTTACTGAATCCTGAGGCCTTTAGGGCAGTGGCCTATTCTTATCTCATATTCAGTCTTAAGAGAAAGGAACTAGTTTTTCATCAGTAGGTATGATGCTAGCTGTATTTGCTATGTATTTCATAGGTTCCCTTTATCACGATTAAGGGCGTTTCTTTCCAGTTCAAGTTTTTTGTTTTTGTTTTTTTAATTAAGAGGGACTGTTAAATTTTGACAAATGCTTCTTCTTACTTGAGATGATCATATGGGTTTCCTCCTGTATTCTATATTTATAAATTCTGTATTTCGGACAGGTAGTTATGTTGCTTGCAGATCCTCTTTAAATTGTGGAGGATTTAAAGGCTTGGACTGTTTCACTTTTTCCCCTTAGTCCCTTAGTCTTTCACTTTTTTCACTTTAGTCCCAGGCAGATTCCATAGTCTTAGGATAGTGCTTACTCAAAAAGTGTAGCCAACCTGGATTTTTCAGTGGAAATCCCAAATGTTAAGTCTTTCTGAATTGGTGGAACTCAAACTTCAAACTCTTCCCCTTACAATGGGAAGCAGATAAAAATCTCAACTCATGTCTTTTCAGAGTTTTAGCTTTTACACTTTCCTGAACCTCTTGGAGTCTCCCTGCTTGCCCAGGCCCAGCTTATGAGAGGTTCACA